CCTCTGTCCCGAACAGAGACTAACATCAACGCATGGAGATCAGGAAATTAAGTAACATTCAAGGTGATGTGAGATATGTGCTGGAAGCAATACCTTAGACTGACCAGAAAAAAAATTGGATCATAATTTTATTTCATTTGAAAAGCTGTTTACTGTTTAAAAATGTTGTCCTCTAAAGTAGTCTTTTTTCTTTATATTTACAAGCTTCGGGTAATCGGGCCACAATAAACAGATCTCACTGTTAACAATGCTGACCATATACACGGAGACAATCCTTGGTTGAAGAGTAACACAAGAGCAACAGTTTTTCACAATCTCTCCTGTCGCGGAGAAGTTTAGCCATCACTGAGAGTGAAAGGCAGAGATATAAGGCAATTCTTTTTATATGGACGCTAACGCTTTCCACTTCATAATCCATTCTCTATATGTGCGTGGTAGTAATATTGTATTGACAAACAGTTTTGTGACAAATTCCATTGTGTTGTGTCCAGTAACACCTGCTCCTACACAATAGCGGTTCACAGAGAGGTGCAAGGATTGTCTGTAATGTTTTAGTTACAAACTGTCCCGTGTTCAATATTAACAGACTGATTAATTGAATTCTCACTGAGGTATTAAGTGAACATCACAGGGTCGACACTCGTTGAGAGTTAGAGTTAATATATTGTACATCATGTACATAATTAAGCGTCACTTAGTATGGTATGTGTATAAATGTTGACAAAATGTGACTTGCTATGTTAAAATGGTGTAAAGAGTTTAGCATCACAAATGTTACCCCGCACATACTACCAAAACCTACTTATAAAAATACCCAAAGTCCGACCACCGAGTTTAAAGTAAATATTGTTATACCAAACATTCAATCAGTCATTCTTACTCTCTAAACAACAACGGCAGTACATACGAAGAGACTATATTTACTAATGTGATAATTACCTGTTGAAATCTTTGTGGTACAATATAAAATACATCAATACTCAACGATATAAAAGCTTCAATTATACCAGAACAAAGTCGTCGCTATAAACTGACAAAATGCTGATGCGGTGTAAAACCTGAACATATTCACTGTACAATTCTTGGTGTCGGAATGTTTGAATCTTAGAAAAATATGTAGAGTCTGTCAAAGTAACTGTAACAGAGAAATCAATGTTTATAATGAATCACAGACTTTGATTTCAAGTCTCAGTTGATAAATTGGACAAACGTATGATAATAAACACTGAACGCGATTGTATGGCTGGAGGATTGGCTGATTGAGATCAGTGGTATTTCCCCTCTGTCCCTGCCAATAAAGTGTGTGTTCCAATGAAGGCGTCTGGTTCTCATAGCAGCAGTGGTTCTCTTTCGGCATTTTCTCTTCTTTTAGGTAATTATTTGCTCAACGAATGTCTCATTAATATAGGTGTGATCATTGATGTGTAGGATGTCTTACTGCAGTCGAGCAAGATTTAACAGACTAGAGGCGCAGTGCAATACCAACGGACGTAAAGTCACCAAATCTACAGATTACGAAGTTGACACAATTTATGAATAACAACTTCTTTATTTACTGTAATAGCGGCGTTTCGGTATAGATCCCTATTATATTTTAAAAGGATATCAAAAGAAATGTAAAGAACTGCAGGTAACCACACGAGCAATTTGTATTGTAAAATTAAGTCTATATTGTCAGAGAATGGCTTTTACCATCTGTGGATGTCACCTTTTAACGTAATTTATTCTTCCCTTTGTTAATTACTAAGGCAGGGTCTAGGAGATAACTATATAACACTATGGTATCAGGAATTATGAGAAGCATCATATGTTTGGTATAACCAGTTTCCATCATTGGAAAAGAAACGTATATTAGTAATGTACTAAATTATAATCATAGGGTCGCACGTACCATATCGAGATTGTCATCGTATTCCCACCGAAATAAAACTAAAAGACACTGTAGTAATAGAATTCTCTGAGGGGAACGAAAATGTTTCAATGTAATATCAACGACGAGGGAGAAAATAAATCTGGGCTTTAAAACTGTTCATAAACATTTGTTCGATTTATGGATAACATAGTCAACATAATTGATGCGGGAAAATGAAAACATAGTTTTTAAACGGTGATAAAAATGACTATTGCGCAAGGTGTATAGTTCATTCATTCCGTTATGTTTCAGCACTGTCAGGAATACATGTAAATAATTCATTTTATGAGCATACGTTCCTAACATTCGGCATATAAAGACATAGTTGCACTTGCCAATATCATTTTCCATAGGTAATGCCTATTGGCATAAAATCCAACAATTTTACACCTTATTCCAAACACAAGGCCGCACATGCAAATGCAACAATTGCATGCAGTGAAGAAAGGAGGTGCAGGAATATTGCTCGTCGAAAAGGAAAAGTTGACTATTGAAGAGCTGAAGTCATCCCTCTCGTCATACAGTCTTGCGGAGAATCTTGTGTGTTTGTCACTCTTAATCTTTAAGCACTGATTTCAAAATGAGCTTAAGTAAAACTTCTTGGTTCATTCTCTTCTATTTTTGACTTTATCAATCCGAGCAGAAATTCCCAATCATATGCATAAAGAAACAGATCTGCAAGAAGGGGAGCACAGTTGGTGCCCATTGGGAAGCCTACTTCTTGCCTAAATGTCTTTTCCCCCAATTTTTCATAGTTGTGTTCAATGATTTGTTGGTTGGTTGGTTGGTTGGTTAACGCCGCACTCAGCAATATGCAAGTTTTGTGACGGCGGTCCGTAAATTATCGAGTCTTGATCAGACAATCCAGAGATTGATATCGTGAGCATCGATCTACGCAATCCGATGAGATCGATGACATGCATCAACCTAGTCAGCGAGCCTGACTACCCGATCCCATTAGTCGCCGACAAGCATAGTCGCCTTTTACGGCAAGCATGGGTTACTGAAGACCTATTCTACCCAGGATCTTCACGGGTCTTTTCTCAATGAAGAAGTGCAGCATTTCACATATTGTTTTCTGAGTAAACTTCAGATGGTATTTCCTTTCATTTTTGACAAATTGCATTGAATTTCTGAGGATAGATATGTAACTGTGTCTATGGTCACCACGTCTTGTATCAAAAGCCTAATCAAGGAATGAAGATTCCCCTTTAGCTTGTCATGTGGGATAGTGGTGTACAAAGTTGAAAAATCAAATGTTTTAACAGAGTTAAACATCGTTCTTTTCTGAGATTGTAAAAGCCAAGCAATTCCTTTGAGTTTTTAGGAATCCACATGGTATTAATTCCACTAGTACCAAAAACTTTCTTGCAGTATACAAAAGTCCTTCCTTGATTGTATTTAGGATTGAGGTTTATTTTTGAGACAAGGATTTGATGGTACATTTACTGGACTCAACAATATGTCTCTCTGTGTAAGGATTCTGATGGATTTTCAATTGAGGTTCTGCCAGTAGGAACATCTACAACATTTCTGTAAAGCAGCCAGACTTTGGATGGCAGCTGGCTGGGACAGAATGGTTTCTTCCAATTTCTGTTTCGTCTTTTTCAGTTTTTGCATTCTACCAACGACAACATCACGCACTGACTTAACCCACTCTAAAAGACATTGGGCAGGTTCAATGCTAAGTATAAATATGTTTCCTGTTTCAATGGATAATTGACGCTGGCATTTACATTTTTCTTTAAGGATTTTTCAGCATTCATTTAGAGATTTGAAGATGAATCAGCATTCATTTAGAGATTTGAAGATGAAATAAGTACATCTATAATGAATATGTCAAGGAGTGTTTATTTCAAATCACTTTCCACTGCCGTAAGGTAGTAGAATATAGAGTAATTTTCATTCTTCTTTAGCTACAACATTCTTGTAAGTGTATTCTCGGTATCGTAAGTTTTGACCCGTTCATGGCATTTAACATAATTTCTCCCCAGATCACCCCTGTGCAAAGTAATCCAAACAATCCTCCAATGACGATGACTGTGTTCAAACTGACACCTACACGACCCACGGCATAATCCAATTGAGTTCAACATAATAATACTGCAAACACGTCAAAAGTTTAAACGTATGAATTTTATACCATACAACGGTCTACCTTCAGAATTCAGGCGTCCGTTCCACAAAACTATCGTAGCGCTCAGGTTATCGCAACTCACATACCGTATTCGACGTAATAAGCGCCCAGGGCGCTCTCAAAATTAGAAATAGGGGTATCCTATTAGAATACTATTTTGGTGAAAGATAAATTTCGTGGTTTATACTGACAGCCTGAAATGTTTATAAACGAGAGAGTCATTTTTTCGGAATTTAATTGCCCATAATTAAGGGTGCATATAACAAACGAGTGCGTATTATATGCGAATAAATAAGTGTTGTGTACATTGATCAATCAGAAGGGGTGCTAATTGGGATTGTTCACTAGCCAATATATTAGCAAATATCGCTGTGGGCGCTTATTAGAGCGGGGCGCTTATTACGTCGAATACGGTACTTTAACTTACACTAACACCTCAAAGTTAACAATCACGTCACAGTACCCGATGACGTAATTTGTGGAATCTTGTTGCAAGATCCATCGGCGAAACAATGCCATGTGACGTCAGCCTAGCAACAAGGTTGCTGGGGTCATCGAGTGTGCATAAGCTCCTCTCGATGATCTATCATCTCCACCCGCAATGTCGTTGAATAAGCCAAGGGATGTCGAGAGCTTTCAATATTTGTTCGTAAAACGTGTTCCGAGAGTACATTAGCATGCGTTTTGGTATTACACAATGTGTAATACAGCTGTATGTTTATTAAACGGGTGATCTCTTCACGGGCAAGTAATAAATGGTTTTATCACATTTATATACAGACACGTCTTAGGATGAACAGAAAATTACATAAATAAAACCAAAAAAAGGTAATGTACACGGCAAATGTCCTTATATAAATGAATGAATGATGAAAACACAAAAAACATACATGTACTGTAGGTAATTGTACACTATCCTCTTTCACATTTCCAGACGCAGAGGCATTCATTATGGCGGAATCCGAGAACACTGGAAACGTAATAGGTGAGTTGAGTAAATGATTTGTACTGATAACGATGGAACAAACCCGTAATATACATTTGGGAAAAGCATTAATATTTTTTATGTATAATTTATGTACCAATTACAAACTGCAGACATTGAGATAGTTGCCAATGAAAATGCTGATGACGTGGACATCCATGAGACATCGTCTACTGCAAGAGGGAACTGGTCAAGCCAGCTGGACTATGTAGTATCCGTGTTGGGCTGCATTGTCGGGTATGGCAACCTGTGGCGGTTCCCCTATCTCTGTAACAGGAATGGTGGTGGTGAGTTACTGTTTATTTTCTTCCTTTATCTTTGTCTTTCCAGCTTTCTTTCGAGCTCATATCCATGCAGTATATCGTCATATGGTACAAAACATTACAAACCTTGTACTGTTTCGTTAACAGATGCTGCATTCAAGTCTAACTTTTCAGCTAACAAATACTGCACAAAACCCTTGGAATAAAAGCAATAAAACCCTTTCATATTCATACGAAATCTCTTGGCAGAAGACGATTTGTATCATACCATGTGTTTAAGAATAAATGATGATGATGATACCAGGTGTTCGCGGAAAGGTGATCGTATACTGCCCCACCTGTCGCACCCATCATGTCAAACTACAAAGCATTGAATAGCATTGACTGAAACCTTTGTGAATTGGGGTGGGTGGTCCAATCGTCAAAGGCGCCGCCAAAAACCTCTGATTGTGAGTTCGAATCACGGTTCGCCATGATTATGTTTCTGGTTTGTCAGCACCATACCCGTGCTCGTTGGTTTCACACAAATGGTAAACGTCTGAGACCTGCATCACTTCGGGCTTTCCTCCCGAATCGATTGTACAATTAAGACTACATCCTGAGCATATGTTTATAAATCACTATCATATAGTGATGCTACCAGAACAACACGGGAACGGATGGTACGTGTTACAAAGGCAAACTGTATTGGACATAAATTTAGCCACTAATGGTCGCTCCACGTGTCTCAGCTTTACTGAGGCCAAGAATGCGTAGTTGTAGAAGCTCTTTGACAGAAATCAAAAGACGAGTTTTACTGGTCTCTTTTATTTCTAGTTCAGGGGGTACTACAGTGGAAGAGGGTGAGATCATCGAAATACCAGAACTTTTTAGCCAGATTCCATTTTTCTAATTTTGCCAATCCGATCACAAATTCAGCTTCGTGTTGATCACAATACATGGAGTTAAGGTCAACTTTTTTATGATTTTAGGAGCATTCCTCATCCCGTTCCTGTTGTTTCTTGTGACATGTGGATTGCCACTCTTATTTCTCGAGATTTCAATCGGTCAGTTTGCTGCAAGAAGTAATACACACATATGGGATGTGTGCCCAATCTTTAAAGGTACTTAAAGTTGAAATATACTTTAGTAATACTCTTAGTAATGATATAACACTGCGGTCATTGTTGCACTTTTATTACGTCTTTGCGAAATGAATTACAACAACAAAGATGTCATATTTTCTAAAAATATTATCTTTCCTATAAACGTTTCACTGGGAACAGATAGGTAACAAGCATCAATGTAAACTTTTATCATAATTATATCAACAGGTATCGGTATTGGTCAGTTCCTTGCCTGCACAATTGGGACCATCTACTACCAGACTATCATAGCCTGGTCAATCTACTACCTGGTTATGTCATGTGCTTCTGTACTTCCCTGGTCAACATGTGGCAGTGAATGGAACACAGAGTTATGTCTAGAGGAAACCCTTGGCAATATCACATTCAACGACATTGCTCTGAACAGATCTTACAGTCAGCCCTTCAAAACAAACAGCATCTTAAACGCAACAGGAGGGACACAGTTTACATTTGTTCATACGGATGCGGAGGAATTCTGGCAGTAAGTAGTAGTATTTACTCTTCGTTAATTAAACTAGTGACAATATATTTTAACAACTTTGAACTAAGAAACGAAAGGACAGTATGCAAAATTATTTTACAATAATACACACATTGAATGAACGCATGATTTGTATCGAAAAAAATAGTTATGAAGAAAATAATTGCAATTCGAATGTCAAGATTCCGTGTGCAATAATTTGTGACAGTTCATTAAACTTTAATTGCAATTATGGTATATGTCTTAGTTGCAATGTATATTACTTGCTGTCAAGAACTTATTTAGGCAGCTACCATGATTAGTGACTAGTGATTATAGTTTTTCTAAACGGGATATTGCAATGAATCCATGTTGTAAAGTAAATTCCAACGTGCCTGCCTGCCTGCAGGAATATATACTGAACAACAAATTCTTTTTTTTGCTACACATAAAAATAAACGTCCGAAACTGTTCGTATCTAAATGAAGAGGAGAGTAATACTTTATCAAACACAAACGTGTAAGCACTTCGAATTCCTTTGGTCTTGAAGTTGACTCTTTCTAAACTTTTCAGACACAAGGCTTTAGTGGTGTCTGAAGGGGTTCACCAAATTGGCCAAGTCCAGTGGCATCTAGCTCTGTCCCTGTTTGTATCTTTGATTCTCGTATTTGCATCACTGATCAAAGGTGTGAAAAGTGTGGGAAAGGTAGGCAACATTGTTTACCTTATTATAAGATAAACGAATATATGAGCTGTAACCTGATTGGTTGAAACATGTTGGTTTTTTGGATTCGATCAAGGAAAGCTTTTAGTTTTTTAAGGTTTCTTGTTAGAATTTTTTCTCCTTTGCAAACACATGCCATTAGGCTGGTCAATACTTTTAAGAAAATCTGTTAATCCAAACGATACAAAACTCTTGCTGAAATTTTTTTTGATCAGACCTTTACGGAGCTTCAGGAAGATTTTATGTCAGTCATGTAGAGGACATGTCCAATTTTGACGCATAAATGAAAGTAATAATGTCTAATGCACATCCCTACTTTGGCTTGTGCTATATTTCCTGAGTGTTTCTTCAGGTGAACAATTGACTGTCATTTGCATCTGTTTGTGATGGGTGGGCAAGAGGATACACTCACCTTTCCGCGAATACCATGAACCATCACTATCCGATAGTGATTCATAATCAAATGCTTATGCTATAGACGGAATCGTACAATGGACTCTGGTGTTAGCAGAGAAATTCATTTTCTGGCTATCGAATAATGAATAACACCCTAACAGTCTAAAAACACATAGAAATGAGAGCTCTAAATGTAATTTTAAATCCTCCTCAAAACAAATCCAAGTGTGAGAACATATTGCAGGTACAGAGAACAAATAAGGCTAATGGTACATCACATGCTCACCCGCATGCCAACCAGTGGATGCACAGGAAATAGAGTAATACCTGGTGATAAAATACTAAATCTGTTGTATGAGGAGATGGACGGAGCATATTTTGTTGGCACTATGATGCAAAATTTGCAAATGTTATATGCATCCACAAGCGAACTGACGGCTCTGTTATACAGGTGGCCTATGTGACTGTGTTCCTCCCCTGCCTGCTGCTGATCGTCCTGCTGATCAGAACTCTGCTGCTTCCTGGAGCTGTGGACGGTGTTGTCTTCTATCTGAAACCAGATCTCAACAGACTCCTGGATCTGCAGGTGGGCCAGTCCATTAGTTGTTGTTGGTGATGCATGTGTAAGATATAGAAGTTATAACGCTCGCTGAGGCTCGCTTAATACAATGTTTTTTCCCAATATAAGATACTTACCATTCCAACGCATACAATCGTGTGAACAGTTGATCAGATTACATCCTTCTTAAATTCTTTCATCGTAAGTTTCCCCCTTCGCACAAACGGTACACAAACATGTGCGCTTTAATATAAAATGTCACAAGCAGAGGTCTACAGGCACATATATGGAAACTGATACGTCTACCTCCCAAAATTGCTTCGCTTGAATCGCCAATGTTGAGAACACTTGCAAAAGGTCACAGTTAGATGCTGAATTTCGATATCTTAGACCATCATTTTGACAATGAAAAACATGATCCAGTAATTTATCAAAATCCCAGATGGTCACTACTGACTTGATAACCAAGAGACAAGGGCCATACTGAAAATAGTACCTACGTGACCTTTTTTTAAAAGACCTCAATGGATTCCGTTTTTTCGCCATATGTTTTTTCCTGCTGAAAAACCTAACAGTGATATGATATGTTTTTATATCCTACCCAAATTAGATTATTGATTAATGAACACATATCCAGTGCAAACATCCATGACATATCATAAATCCTTCATCAGGCAATTCAGGGTTCTGCCATGTGTATGAAGTGGTTTGGATTGAATTGGTATTAGTAATCATGAAATCTGACTCTTTTAAACGTTGCCTTCAAACAACACTTTGTTACTAGATGACAGTGAACACCGTATCCTCTGTATGAACCATGTTCATAATGAACTGACCACATGTTTCAGGTGTGGTTAGAGGCTTTGTTACAGGTGTTCTACTCACTTGGTCTTGGCTGGGGTGTCATAACTACAATGGCCAGTTACAATAAATTTCATGACAACACCTTAAGGTACAGTCATAAATGGAGCATAAAGCTGTTTGGGGGTTTCATTTGAAAATAAATACAAGCATATCTCTTAATCTTAAGATAAAGTACAGTAATGTAAAGAGTTCATATGAGTTACAAATGTTATATTTGGGATGACGCTTTCTTAGTAAAATACAGATTCTGGTGCTTTTGGGGGTTGTTTGCCATCCAGGATTAGTAATCCCACTGCGAGAGTGAGGCACCTCATCGCCAGTGAGTACTGCACTTTACTATATATAACATTTGTTACATTTGACCACTTTCTAAATGGAATTGTGTGTTCATTCATAAGAGTTACATAATCTCTCTGAGTGGTTATGCATTTTCTGAATTCCACCTTTACTTAAGTGATACATTTCACGATTCTTGTGCTGGAGTAAACTATGTCATAATGCACACAAGTAATATTATATTAGGAACTCTGTTGTGCTGACCTTCTGTGGTGAGGGTACAAGTCTGTTCTCGGGTCTGGTGATCTTCACGGTTCTCGGGTTCATGGCCAACAGTGCTGGAGTTGCAGTTTCAGAAGTAGCATCTTCAGGTTGGTAGCCTTCCACAATAGCATCTTCGGGTGAGTTGCCTTAATCAAGTTGTATCTTCAAGTGAGTTGTCTTCATCAAAAAGCATCTCTAGATGAGTAGTCTTTCTGAAGTAGCATGTTCAGGAAGGTAGTCTTCCCCAAGTGGTTTCTTCAGATAGGTAGTTTGGTGGAGTAACATCTTTAACTTTTCTAAAAATGCATTTGAATGACAGGTCCGGGACTCGTATTCGTGGCGTACCCTGGAGGGCTTTCTCAACTACCCCTGCCTCAGCTTTGGTCCTTCCTGTTTTTCTTAATGGTGCTGACGGTTGGATTGGACACTCAAGTAAGGCAGCAGTAATGCAAAGGTTATGACATAGGGATAGACATTCAGTATAGACGAATTCGAAACAGTGGGAGTTTACACAGCCAAGGATGCTCCAAGAATATGTACTCCTCTTAACAAAAGTAGGGGATACTTAGAAATAACATAAAATTTCCCAAACTGTAATAAATATTAGTTTCTAGTTAGAGTTGTATGATAATAATTCCAATCGGTAGGGGAGTATGACAGAAGATGTTATGACCATCAACGATCTTGAAGGTGTTCAAAGTTAACAGTAGTGGCCACGATTTGTCAAACATCCATTCACTTGATGAAGCCTTCTGCGTGGCGATTTGGGGGAGTCTTATACTTAAACTTCACATCATATTAGCATAAGAAGTCTTTGATTTCAAAGAGCCTCATACGGCTCTTGCTCAGAAGTTGTTTGATCAAGGTTACAACATTCAAGGCCTCAGTAAAGCGTTTAAAAAGGAGGACATTTCCAAATTTGATTCATCAGTGACAAACATGATGTCCGATGCAATTCCCTATTTTGACTTGTATCATATGTTCGATGGACTTTCCCATGCAAGTGTTTGTTTTTTGTATTTTTTGGTTTCACGCCGCACTCAGCAATATTCCAGCTATATGACGGCGGTCTGTAAAATAATCGAGACTGGACCAGACGATCCAGTGATTGACATGAGCATCGACCCACGCAATTGGGTTCGATGACATGTATCAACCAAGTCAGTGAGCCTGACCACCCGATCCTGTTAGTCGCCTTTTACGACAAGTGTAGTAGCCTTTTACAGCAAGTATAGGTTGCTGAAGACCTATTCTACACCAGAATCTTCACGGGTCCCTTTGCATGTGTTTTTGACGGGTGCCACCGGTGGGGCAGGATACGCTCGCCTTTTCGCGAACACCTTATATTATTACTATTTGATAGTGATTCATAAACACATGATCATGATATAGTCGGAATCGTACATACGACTGTGCTTTATGCAGAGATTTCTATGGGATATGGAAAGAGTTTTGTCGCTTTATTTACCGTTACTTACAAGCTTCTAAAAATTCCAATTGAAGACAACCTTTAAGTGTTTGAGAATACATATGGTATTAGCTCCGCTTGTCTCAAATACAAGTTATGCATTTACATTGTATATTAAGAACTGTCATCGAAGGACAGTACAACAACCAGCAATATACCTTTCTTATTATGGAATTGGTATATGGAATCCAATACATAAAAGTGACCAAATCCCTTTAAATGAAATCTCTGCAAAAAGCCGAGCCGGCTGTATTCGACTTTATCATAACGTGCGTCCATGAATCACTATCAAATAGTGTTCGCGGAAATGTGAGCAAAAGCAAGTCAGTTGTTTACCTAATAAAACACGGAAACAAAAAAGTAGAAATCAAAAAGAGAACTCTGTCGCATATCATTTTTGTCATCGATGATCTCCACGTGTATGCCATGAAACATTTTAAAAGGTCCACTGAGGCCTTGAATGTTGTAACCTTGATCAAACAACTTTTGAGCAAGAGACGAACTTTCATTGCATATTTCGTAGAATAAGCACGGTCGAATGAACTTCAATAAGCACGGTCAATATGAACGACAAGTAGACACCCAAGCCTGGAGTAACTGGACTACGGCTCGACCTGAATGGGCAGTTAACAATTTGAAAGTTGAAGCCATCCCTCTTGTCATACAGTCTTGTGGACAGAGTTTTATCATTCTGAATCTTAACGTACAGATCTAAAGTTGAAATACACTGTCCTCCCCTATTTCTAGGTTAGGTGGGTAAACCAGTGGAAGGAAATTGGCTACTAGGTGGTAATTGAACGATATGTTACAATATGTTAACCCAGAAATCTGTAACTAAAAGAATTAAGTGTGAAACCAACACACAAATAACAAATGGTATATAACCAACACATGTATTTCAAAATTGATTAGGTTTTAAACTCAACACAAATTACTGTACAGCAATTACAATGGCAGTACACAATAGAGAGGTAGTGAAATATCCAATGACAATAATAATATGATGACAGTTGTCAATTAAAAATACAAAACTAGTGGTGATAGCGAAAGTCAGTGATGATAATATATTCACCCAGCAGCGACAGTAGTCAAGCTTCCGAGATGGGCTAGGCACGGAACCCGTGATGATGAGTGATCTTCACACGAAAGCTGGCCTTGATGTAATGAAATGTGTGAGAGATATGAGAGGCACTATTTTGTCCCTTTATGTTCAGGGGGGCAGGGTGACCCAGTCGTCTAAGGCGCCGCTTTTCGCTGTCCCTTGGGCACGCGAGAATTATGATTGTAGATTAGAATCCTTGTTCACCGCAATTAGGTTTCTAGGTTTGTCAGCACCATACCCGTGTTCGTGGGTTTCACCGAAGTGGTAAACGTCTGAGACCTACATCACTTCGGGCTTTCCTCCCAAATTAAGTTGACACGCCGTGATATAACTGGAATAATGTTAAAAGCAGCATTAAACCCAACTCACTCACTCATCCTTATGTTCAGTCTAACTAGATTCTGGAAATTTATACACACCACAGAATATTACACATGTTTCTATAATGCCCCGTCCACGGTATTCCAGGAGTTGACACATCACACTAGCATCCAAATAAAGCAACTTCCTCAAAACTAATTACATTAAACAGTACTACATTCCTGACAACTAAACACTGTCAAAATACAATGCAATGGGCTTCTAAACAGAAACAATGTGATACTGCTAAAATCTTTAACAACAAATTATTTGACATATGACAGATATCAGCTCATGGATATACCCGAAGCTTAAGTTAAACTTCTCGGCCATATTATCTTGTTTTGACTTTGCCAATCCGAGCAGAAATTCCGATTTTGAAAGAGTTTTCGAAACTCCCACAGGATATCATGTTATGTGAAAATATTGTCTTCTCAATTATTCACCAGAAACCTGAGGATTTCACCCATTTCAAGATGTCTTTGACAGATTTTGTAATGATTTCCTGAGATCAAGAAGGTCGGTACCTGTTATCTTTTCTCATGACACATTGGGTCAGTATTCTTGTAAGGTCAATCTGTATCTCAGCATAATTAATTATTGGTTATGTTTGGTAAGTAACATGATAATATTATAGTTAATGAGATCTATTCCTGTCACAATAGTGTTGTGGAAAAAGGCATAAAATATATTTGGCATTAAATGTAAAATTTGTCATTTATATATTGTTTTGGCTTAAATATTCTCATATCCAAAACTACGAATGCATGTTCCTTGTAATGAAAGACCTTGTCCTCTTCGCATTGTCCCTGTGATAGAAACGGAGTATGGAGTGTCCTTCTTGTGAAAGCTTAAGGGAATATGTTCTTCCAAGCTTCTATGAGAATCCATCACAAAGGAAATTGATAAAACTTTGGATATTATCACCTCCTAAACTATCTGGCTAAATAGATAATTTTACCATTTGATAAACGACAAACGTAACTCGACTCTCCAGTACGATCAATATGTATATGCTACCATGATTTGTCATGGTGCCGGTAGCCCCTTTACTGAAAAACTCGATCTTCAGTGATTCATTCATATATTTTTTTAATATCACTGTTTTGACTTTTTCACCCAAATGTAATCTGTTTCAGAGGATGATCTTCACTGATTATTCTCTGGCGTTGACATTTTGAACTAAAGTATATTGCTAAAGGACTCGCGATAAATGACAGTTCGAGTTGCGCCGTGAGCATAATGCCATTCCAGTTCACATCCTTATCGGTTGTATGTATTGCAGTTTGCGTGGATGGAGACGGTAATAACTAATGTTATTGACCAGTTCCCAGCAGTGCTACGGAAGCGGAGGATTATGGTCACAGCGGTGTTCTGTACAGCCTATTTTCTTCTTGGTCTGCTCTTCACAACAAATGTGAACACTACTGTTTACTTTCAAAGTCTCTTTTATGAACATGTGGTGAAGGGGGGGGGGGGGGGGGGGTGATAGCCCTGAAACGTCATGCAAACCTGAAATAAGTT